CGGTTGAAGCCGGTGAGAGAAAGTCTAATTATAATAGGCACTTGTTACTACTAGTAAGGCACTTGTTACTACAGTAAGGCACTTGTTACTACTAGCGTGGCACTTGTTCCTAGTAGCTTCTTGTTCCTACTAGTAAGGCACTTGTTACTGGTAGCGTGGCACCTGTTACTACTAGTTTCTTGTTGCTACTAGTAAGGCCCTTTGCTCCTAGTAGCGTCCTGTTGCACCGGTTGCTCGCTCTGCGACCGAGGCCCGACGCCCGCGGAGTCTTTGCCAGCAGAGACCGCACGTGGGGCATCTATGTGAACGAGGTTGGTGGATCACGGGAGAAGGGACAGAGGGGCACAGCTGCAGGTGTTAGTTCATGTGAGTCCAAGACCTAAGGTGCAGTCCAAGACATTCTTAATGCAACCTCTGCATGATAGTTGTAGTTTTTCGTCCCGTGTCCACCTACTAGATGTTGTATACGGACATAAAGTGAGTCCCTCACTGAATGAGGTCAGTAAAGACCCTTTGAACCTTTGGATGACAAGAACGGAAAGTACTTCAAGAAGATCCAACTCTGTTGGTCCGAGTTTGGGCTTCTCTTGTTGCGGACGGTGGTCTTTTCTCGCGCGGACGGGACTGACTCTTCCCGTTCCCACGGGATTCTCCCTCTGTCGCCAGCTGGACCATCTCTGCGTGAATGCCTTGGACAAGTCCGGCACACCAAGCCTCAAAAAGACGCCCGCCCGACACACTTGGCGTCGCGAAGCGATTGCTTCCCACACTCGGAGTGTGGGGTGACGCCGCTCACGCTGGCGTCACATGTTCTTTGTGGGCGGATTTCTGTCGGGAAATGGATGCAGCTCTGTAATCAGGAAGGTGTTGCTGAGAGATTGCACCGACAGTTGTAGGTCTCCAGTTTGAATAAGACTTTGTTGATGATCATCACAAGATGTTGCTGGAAGCAAGTGCTCAAAGCTCGAACCCGCGTTTTTTTGCATGTGAGTTTGATAACAAAAACATACGCACAGCATGATGAGAAATGTAAACAAATGGACCACATGAAGATCTGCATCTTTTGCATTCTCATTCCAACAACCCTCAAGCACCAGGTCTCTCTGTTTTTTGGACGAAGGCCATGGCGTATGCTCAGAGCCAGTTGACCAAGTTGCATCGATCGGTCAAGAGAGGGAGCTATGACAAGGAACTGGTGGCCAAGATCCTGGATGCCGGGGTGGTTGCGCATGTGGTGCTTGGGCAGAACATGGCGCGATTTGGTGGGGAGATCTTTAGGCGTTTACCTCAAATGGAAAAAGACGGCATTTCTCGAAGTTTTTCAACAGAGAGCCTCACAAGCTCTCCACGTTTTGAGAACCAAGCTATTTCCACATCTCGGTCGTTCGCTCGAGCGGTTGGCATTCGATTTTAGGGACCCGATACAAACTTACTACTAGTAACCAAAAGCTATTAGAATTAACTTAAAATGTCTAATAGCTTCTTGTTACTACTAGTAAGGCACCTGTTCCTAGTAGCGTGGCACCTGTTGTCCTCCCGAAAGCTCGAGCTTCCCAGACCACTTGGCCCTTCCTTCGTTCTGTGGTTGTTTGTTCTCCCCTGCCCTGCGACCGAGGCCTTCGTGGACGCAGAGGGCCACCCCAAGGTGAGTCCGATGATCTACGGCCGTGCGGGCGATGCCCTGTACCTCCATGGTCACCTGAGCGCTGGGCTCTTGCGGAATGGCATCTGAGAAAAAGACACGTGCGTATGTAGGAAGCTACTAGGAACAAGTGCATCGCTACTAGTAACAAGTGCCTTACTAGTAGTAACAAGAAGCTATTAGAAACAAGTGCCTTACTAGTAGTAACCAAAAGCCTGGGAGCTATGCCGCAGTGTGTAGATAGAAAAGCGAATATACTCAGATGAGAAAAGAAGGCTCAAGCTGTTTAGCCTCAAGCTCAGTAGCTTCCGGCTACTGGGGGACTTGCGGTACCCGGTCACCACATCTTTGACGGCGCCTTTGGCCTGATCGTGGTCGGCAGGGTGATCCACTATGGTCTCGGGCGGCAGCAGCTACTGCAGAGCGTATACCGTATGTGGCGGTGATCGGTGCTCCAACTGGATTTGGTCTGACAAGATCAGGGAGGGCTTCGTTTGTCGGCGATGCGGCGAGCAGTGGGCCTGCCCTCCTCAAGGGTACTCCAGAGATCACCACAACGTTCAGGACGCCAGCAGATGCCAGTCAAACCTCCTCCGGGACTTGGACCCAAGCCCTTCAAGGTGACCCGCATCCAAAAGGCCACTGCTGAGGCCTTGGCACCGGCTTGGGCTTCTTTGGACCAGGCCCTCAAACAGAAGCTCCAAGATCTTGGCATCCAGCCTCCTCCACCAAATCCGGATCCTGACCTCAAGGACGTCCTGGTGGAGAACATGGCCCAGCTTCCACCACCGGTCAGAGAGCTTGTGGAGAAACTGACCAAGCCCTCTCCACCCACGGAAACGGACATTGCATCCAAGCTCAAAACGCAGGTCTCCCTCCTGAAGGATCTCTCACATAAGAAGTCCCATCTTCAGCAGAAGATTGACTCCACCAAGAGGTCTTATCAAGATCTGCTGGATGAAATGAAAGCCATTCAAGGGAGGATTGAGACCGAGCAGCAGGCTTTGACCACTACCAGCGCCTCGTACATGACTTTGGTTAGCTCAGCAAAGACTGATTTGGAAGTTTTGCCGGATGCGGAGACAGGTGACCCAGTGCCTGCCGCCGTTGCCGGGTTTATCACCACCCTTGGTGTAAGTCTGACTGAGGAGCAGCAAAATCAGCTTCAGAGCATGCTGAAACGACCACCAGCCTCAACAGACGAAGAGGCCAAGAGACGCAAGAAGGAAGTCTCGGATGTCCAGTCTTGCGGGTAACACGCCCTTTCAGCGTGGCATGCTTGACAGACTTCATGGGGGTCCTCAGTCATGTGCACAGCATGCAGGGGTTTCTATCTTGGATTGTGGGGCTTTTCACAATCAACCGTCTTTGGCCGCTTCAGGCTCAAGTTTGGCCTCTCCGCGGGGTTTGGAGGGCTATGGGCCTCAGAGGCGGCGATCTTCTTTGAAAGTTTTTGGAGGCAGTCTCCCACGGCAGCCCGCCGAGCTTCTTGGGGAGGGTGAGGCACTGGGCTCTTCTACCTCAGAGCGGGCCCTACGGGGCACCGCTTCTTCCAGGACCTCACCAGTCCCCTCTTTGGCTCAGGTGCTGCTTTCAGCTATGGAGACGGAGCATACCTCGGACCTTGACTCCAATCAGGTCTTCTATTTTGATTTGTGCCAACAAGATCTCATCGCATCAAGTCAGCAATATCGGAACACTGGCTTGGCTCATCATGGACAGCAACTACTGGCTGATTTGAGACGCATGCACAATCTGGTTCACCAGCATTTGTGCCTCCACGGAGATCTCAGGCCGCCTCTGGCCAACGTGTATGTGATCTCTCAGGTTTTGACCACCATTTTGGACAACCCGGATGGCCAGAACCTATGCTTCGGCAATGCACCTTTCCGGTGTTGGTGTTGGAGTGGGGCCTTCGCTGAGGACACGGCCACAGCCTGGGGTCACACCCAACCGGCGGTACGGCGATGTCTGTCGGAATCCCAAGGTCAACTCCTATCCGCTGATCCTGACCTTCAAAGCATTTGGGCCCACTTTCAGCCTGGTCATCAGGCTGATGCGGCGGACTTCCTGGGGTTCTTGTGGGCACAGGCGGAGTCCACCTTCTACGGAGGGAAGTTTTACCACCGACGGCTCCAAGGCCCTCTGGAAATCAGGGAACAGATGCCCTTGAACTTGATTTTCCCTCCAGGGGATCAGTGTATCTCCTTGGACGAGCTGATCTCCAGCTGGGCAGACGAAGATGGGGGACAGTTCCTCTACGGCGCACCGGAAGCGCTGGTCCTCCAGTTGCAAAGATTCCAGCTCGTTGACGACACTTGGACAAAGCATGACAGGGAGTTGGAGTTTGGTCAGGACATCAACTTCCCCTTCTCAGAGGATGGTCAGAACGTCCACATGGCTGCATACCGGATCGTTGCTCTGGTCACTCACCAGGGCTGCGATCACCAAACGGGGCATTACCAATCCCTCTTGATGATGGACAATGCGGTGTGGCTTGCGGACGATGGCCACTACCCGGTCCCCATTGAGGAGCTCACCAGCCGTCACAGGCAAGAGGTTCTCCAACTTTGGCTTGTCAAGGAACCGCCAGACACTTTGGTCGAGGACACGCAAGCTGACTACATGGGGCCACCGGCCAAGAAGGCCCGACAAGCTCATGAAACCATCACCATTCTCTATGGCAATGTCACCCACTTCGGGGCCAAGGTGCAGGAGTGGACCTGGTCCCGCACTGATGCCATCATGATGTTACATGAAACCCACATGAGTGAAAGGGCCACCAAGCAGGCCCTCCAATACTACTCCAACAGGGGATGGAAGGCCTATGGTCAAGCCGCTCACCCGACGGGGCAAGGAGGCACCTCAGGGGGCTTTCTCACCCTGCACTCCACCAAGCACCTGACCCACCAGGCTGCTGAATACCTTCATGAAGGCAACGGATGGGTGGCTATTGGCCTACAGCGAGATGGTCTCCTCCTTTTCCTCATTCAGATCTACCTCAAGACTGGGGAGACTCTTCAATCAAACAGCAACGCTCTCATTCTCAGTCAGTTGATGGCCTTCTTGCATCATTTGGGGGCTCCCTTCATCATTGGAGGGGACTGGCAGAACGAACCTGCGGCGCTTGCAGCCACGGTTATTCAAAGCAAGTTCAAGGCTCACATCCTGGACACTGGGGGTTCCACAACCTTGCAGGGCAGCCAGTTGGACTACTTGCTGGTATCCAATGCATTGCAAGGGTCGGTGCGAGTTGAAGCTTGTTGGGATGTTCCTTGGCGGCCACACTGCGCACTTCAGCTCTTTCTTGATTGTGAGCAACCAGCTCAAGCTGTGCAGCAGTTGCAGCGATTTCCACCCATCGGTCGCACTTTCCAGTTGCCACATCAGTGGACGAGCTTTCCCGAGGACAATGGCCCTTTCTACATCATGAACGACCTCATCACAGGCCTTGGCTCTGACTTGGCCAGGTGGGCGACCCAGACTGAGAAGTATGTCACTCAGATGCTTCACCGACCCACTTTGGGACGGGGCTCCAACATCCACCTCACCATTGCCCCTTTGGTCGATGCATCCACCTCACGGAAGTGGCTCCGGGGCACTGTTGCCTTCTGGGAAAAGCTCAATGTCCGCATCAATGTGGTCCACCACACGGGGCACCGAGGAGTCACGCAAGATGTGCGGCATATGCTTCAGGATGTCCATCAGTTCTGCTCTGAGGACTTTTCAGCTGATGTCTTTGTCGCGGTGGTGGCACAATGGCTTGAGACCCCCACCTCAGACCCGGGGGACATCAGGGCTCAGATTTTAGAGCAGGAGCACATTGCTCAGAAGCAGGCACTCCAATCCACCAGCCTTGAATTCCAAGAATGGCTTAAGACTGCCCACCACAAAGGTCTTCGGGGTCTCTTCCGCAACCTTCGCCAGAGGGACCAAGCATGGGAGCGACCTTTCCAGGACTTGCCTGCATTGGACCGCATCAAGGCTCGTGAACAACAGTGGGGAGACATCTGGCATCCCCTCCCTGCACCACTTCAGATTCGGGGTTTTGCGCAGCTGCGGGACCTGGCTCAGCAGGAGGCTCTCACGTGGAAGCCCATCGATTCTTCGGTTTTGCAGAAGCTTCTCCGCAGACTCCCCAACAAAGCTGCGGGACCGGATGGCATCTCCTACGATATGCTCAGGCACCTGCCCTTTCCTGCGGTCCAGAGATTGAGCGCGCTCCTCACTGAGATGGAAAGGGAGGCCTTGTTGCCTACCCAACTGAGGTACACCAACATCGTCCTCATCCCCAAGTCCTCCAAAGTGGAAAGGCCCATTGCTCTGACGTCCTGCCTCTACCGTGTCTGGAACTCCTACAGGAAGTATGACATCCAACGATGGCAGATGACCCTGGATGATGACCTCCCTTCAAATCAAGCCCGACCAAAGCGGGACTGCCTCTCCATTGCGGTGGGCCGCCTGCTCAAGTCCGAAATCCGCAAGCACCAAGGCGTCCACACAGTCACGTGCCTGGCTGATTTGTCCTGTTTCTATGACACCGTCAGCCTGGACAGCATCTTGGCGCCTGCAGCTGAGCTCAACTACCCGCCGGTCCACCTCAAGTTGGCCTTGGATTTGTACTCTGGGCCGCGCCTGATTCAGGCCGAAGGCATTGCTGGGGATCCCAAGCACTACTCCCATGGCATCTTACAGGGCTGCCCTCAAGCTCCTGCCATTAGCAAGCTCATCCTCTACCGGCCTCTCAAGGAGCTTCAAAAAGCCCATCCGGCAGCGGCCCTTCAGACTTGGGTTGATGATGTTTCCTTTGATGTGTGTGGCACTGACCCGGATTATGTCGCCAGAGAGGCCATTCTGGCCTATCGATCTCTTCGGGATTTGCTCATGGCAGCTGGCCTCAAGGTCAACACTGACAAGACTGGTTTCATCTCCAGCAGCAAGGAAACCGCCAAGGCACTGAAGACCCACCTACAAGAGCACGACCCTCAGCGCCACAATGTACTCAGAGACTTGGGGGTGGACGCCACAGCTAGCCGCCACCGGAGGATCACTCAGGTCAAGAAGAGACTTCTCAAGGGGCGTGGCAGAGCGGGCATTCTTCAACGGTTGAAGCTGCAACGGAACATCAGCCATCGCATCCACAAAAGTGCAATCCATCCAGTGATGTCATGGGGGGCTCAGGCCTCAGGGCTAGCTCCACAAAGGCGGCAATACATCCGGGTGATGGCGGCCCGCAGTCTGGGTTTGCAGCGGTCAGGCTCAGTTGATGTGGTGTTTGATACACATCCTCAACACACTGATCCGGGTGACTCCATCATTCAGCAACATCTCCATTCGGTCTGGAAGGTTTACCACTCCTTTGATGAGGGAACTCAACACCTTTTCTGGACTAGCTGGCGCGTTGCGCTGGGCGCCTTGCAGAGGGTCCGATATCGATGGCAGGTTGTCAGTGGCCCCCTCCAAGCTCTGCAGGCCTACCTCCTGGACTATGACTTCGATCTTTCTGATGGCAAAGCTTGGAAACGAACAGGCTATGGAGGGATCCCAGACTGTGTGCTCAAATTGGACGAGTGTTGGCCGGAGCTTCTATTCAAGCTGCAGACCGAGTTCCGTTGGCAACGCCTCCTTCGTTTGACCCGGTATGAAGGGTGCCACGAGCTAGAAAGGCCATTAGATTGGCAAGTCAGCCTCACATTGCAAAAGATGGATGACGGCCACAACGGGCCAGCCCTTCGAGCTCTTCATCAAGGCACCCTGCATGGCCAGCGAGGCCATTGTCCACTCTGTGGCGATGAACTCACTTTCGTCCACCTTCTGTGGCAGTGCAAGTTTTGGAACGGCAAGGTCAAGGCCCTTCCGGATCAGTGGAAGCAGCGGCTCGAGGCGGGCACGGAGCCGGAGCTATGGCAGAGGGGCATGGTGCAATCCATTTTTTACCTGCAAGAAGGAGGCATGGGCACCTTCCAGAATGAAGGGCTTTGGACGACTCAGGCGGCCTTTGACATTCCATCGGGTCATGCTGTTTCTCTGGCGGTGGCCCCCACTTGTCGAGATGCCCGCCACAAGCGGTTCGTCTTTGTGCTTTGCCTGCACCAGGTTTTCTCCAAAAAGAGGGTGGCGGCACTGAAGGGCATTTGCCCGGGCCAAGCCACTCGGGCCAGGGCCCTTTTCTATGGTCTCAAGCATCTTGCACTTCACAGCAAGGAGAGGGTCGCTGTGGCCATTTATGACCATGGCATCTGGAAGGCGTGGCAGCCCACTGAGGCCTTTGTTCAGTTCCCTGACCTCTACCAGGGTTTGGATCCAGAGGACTTTGCTCAAGTTCGACCCCTTCTGTTTGGCAAGAAGGAAGAGGACACCAATACAAATCGCTTGATCTTCCAGCAAGATGCAGACAAGCTAGCTCGGGCCTTTGCCAAACAATCCCGCAATGAAGAGATCTTGGATCTTCAGCGTCGCATTGATGAAGACACCAGGGATGTCCTTTGTGTCGCTGCCACCAGGATGAACATCCTCCTCAAGGACAAGACCCACTTCCTGCATCAGACACAACCGGCTGACTCTCTGCAGAAAGTGCCCTTGATTGAGCAGAAAAGGCTCATTCTTCAACAGTTGGAGCAGCATTCCACAAGGGGAGGCCACTCATGGCAAGCATACCGCACCGGCGTTCGTTGCATTCAGTGCAAGCAGAGGTTTCACGCCAAGAGCCTGATAGGTGAACTCCGGGCAGCTTTGGATTCCACTTGCGACATGGCCGTGACACCCTCCCCGAACCGGAAGACCCGCTTCCAAGTGATTGATGAGCTGATAGCTGCACAGTCCGGTGTCCAACAGGGAGTACATCACCTGAGGCTTGACAAAGCTTACCTCCGATGCTCCGAATGTGCCAGCTACATTTTAGCCAGGTGCAATGAGGAAGCCTTCAGCAATTTCGTTGGCAGTCCGTGCCTTGTTGGCCCTTTGGAAGCTTCACTATGGAGTGGCCACCCTTCTCACACGATGAGCCGCAAAGGGAGCATGGCCAGATGCACTCGTTGTGGCGGAGCTGGCCGCATCAAGGACGACATGGTGGAGCTGAACACCAAGCTGAAGAAGCGCTGTGTCCACCTGGGGTCACAAGACCTTCGTGCGTGGTTCTCGTGACGGCACCCTGCCGGAAAAAAGGCGTGCAAAAAAAGATGAGAAAAGAAAGTTGTGGGGTACACTCCTGGTGTTGGCTACTACCTGAGGTGGCCTTGTTGGCCTTTTGAAGGTCGATCACCGAACCTGACACTAACAGGAGAAGGTGAGGCGAGCATAGCTCCAAATGGTGGCCTCTCAGGGCTTCATTGGCGAATGTGATAAGGCCTCGGACGATTTGCCTTCTCTTTCCATCAGATTGGCAACAGGTGATGCTTGCGCGACGCTGCGGCGGCCGCGCGTTGCTAAGGTAGCATTGACGTTTGTTTTTGCATGACTCTGGAGGATGGCTTGGTGCTTGCGCGTTCAGGCCATTTGATGCCATCTTGCTCGTGAAAAGACGAAGACATGTTTTATGAGAAACACGAAAGCGTTGGATGCAAATGACACTAAGATCTATATCTATATCAGTCAGCAGTTATCCCTGATTCCTCTCTTTGTGCTGGTTGTTCTGTTTGTTTGGTTTCACTTCAATTCTAGGCATGCACTCCAGCATGAACTACCGCTGTGTGATGGTCCACGGCAAGGCCGAGGAGCAAAAGAAAACGAGTTGAGACAAAGACGGCGAAGACTGTGGAGAGCACAACATCTTGAATTCGGCAACTGCAGAGGGGGCAAGCCCACCTGAGCAGCTTGAACATCAAAACTGGAACTAGCCGCCCAACCTTTTCTAGAAAAGCATGTGCCAACTTTCTGGCACGAGTCATTGGCCTTTTTTCTATTATAGGTTGGAGGCCATTGCTAGGCTAGTAGCTTGGAGGCCATCGCTTCTGGGTGTTTTCCTTGGGACGACTTTTTCGCTGACTCGGAGGAGTTGGAGGGCGACGCGAAGTGGAAAGCGCTGGACCTCATCGTGGACCACTCAGCAGGTGAGGGCTGGGCGTCGCAGCTGCGGCCGATGACCAGCGCAGAGGTGCAAAGCACGCGAGTTCTGAAGTTGAAGTTGGAGGCGCTGAAGCGCTGAAGGGAGGAGGTCCTTGTGTTATCCTTTTTGGATCGGGTGACTAATTTTAATTTGATTCTAATTTCATCTAATTTCACTATTGTTTCTAATTAAATTCTAATTTATATATTGTGTCTAATAGCTTCTTGTTCCTAGTAGTAAGGCCCTTGCTCCTAGTAGCGATGCCCTTTGCTCCTAGTAGCGTTTTTGCTCCTAAAGCGCCTTGTGTTATCCTTTTTGAATCGGGTGTGCAAGAACAGTGCTGAACGGTTTTCGAAGGTCTGACATGTCTGAAATGCCTTGCAAGGAGTGACGAGTGCAATCATGAATGGAGTTGTTTTGATGTCCTCAGGATGGGAAGGTCAGTGCAAAGGTCCGCGCGGAAGGTGCAAATGACGACAAGGAGGAGAGGTAGGGAGAGGTGGAGCGGGAGAAGCAGGAGAGGAGCGGCAGAGAAGAAGAGTGTCAGCAGCTCTCGAATTCGGCGTTTGTTGGAGGCCATCGCTCGTAGGATGGCTAGGTCCTGCTAGGTGCTCAATCCGTCGTTTCACTTTTTCCAAAAACAATGAGAAGAGATCACAAAGGAGATCCGATCCCCTGGAGTTTCGTCAGGCCATTTGCAGGAGTTGCCCACTTCAGATCCGAACCAAAGGGATCTTCTTAGACTCGAGTTGTTGGTGTGAACGGTGTGAAGTCCTTTGGTTCCTTTTGGAACGAGCTTGGGGTAATTAACCTCACCATTCCCGTGACCTTTCAATGACGACCTGAGCATTTTTTTGGGAAGAAGAGGATCACAGACTGGCACTCCCGCACACCCCAGCAAAGCCTCGTGATGGCCTCTGCCGGCATTTTGCTTGAGGACTTTGTTGAATCTCCAACCAACCAACCTAGCGGCGATGGCCTGCACCACCTAGCGATGGCCTGCACCCGCACCCTCGTCGCGTAGGACATTGAGAACCTGAACCTTTGGGCTGGCATCATCCCCATCACCCGCGTCTATGGCCCGCCGGTGAACAACCACGACTCCTCGTTGAGGCCACCTGAGCAGATGCTGAGGCGGGATGAACCGCCATGCAGGGGGCACCGGAGTTGGCGCTGTTTGGCCCTCCACACTCGAACGGATGGCCACATGGCCAGACAAGAGGTTTCTCACCAGAGATTTCGGGGCTTTTTCAGGAGCCTTTTGTACTCCTTTTTCAGGGCTACAATCCCATCCTGCCCTATGAACACATGTTGGAACTTAGCCATGCAGCAAAGTGGATGCCGACTCCGATTCCTGCGTCCAACAAGTAAACCTTCCAAGCACATGGGTGATCTCATCGCCTCTTCGACCGAGGTATCCCAAGTATCGTTCGGGGCGACCGCACTGTGCGAAGGGCACGGAGGGCGAGGGCGCACGGCGCCTGGTGGAAGTGGCCACGATCTTTGGGCTTGGGCTGGCGCTGGGACTCTGGTCCAAGCGACTTTGGGCGTGAAGCGGGAACATGCTTAGGCACAAACCCAAATATTGGCACAGCTTCTGGGAGAGGAGCTTGAGGCCTCTTTTCCAAAGCATTTCTTGAAGCCAAGTTGAACTGTAAGTGCTTTGCAGCGGCGAGCGTTCAAAACCCTCACGTACAGTGTACAGCGCCTATTGGATTGTCTTTTGTCGAACTTCGCCGAAATGCCAAAATCTACGAACCTTCGCCGGAGCGTGGGGGAGCCAGGGGTTATTGTTATTCTGCAACTATGCATTTTCACATCTTTTCACTTTTCATCCTTTTGCTCTTTCCTCTTCTTTTCCTCTTTCCTCTTGACAAGAAGCTACTAGTAACAAGGGCATCGCAACGAACGGAGCGATCGGACGCGACGAACGGGGTGCTCCTGGCCGCCACGGACGTAACAAGGACGCTACGAACGTAGAAAAAGTCATTCTGCCGCACCCACCCAACTGGCTGCCTGGGGCCAGGTTTACTCGGGTCTTCGACACGCTGAACGCCCTGGAGGCGGGCGCGTAGCCTGGAGGGGGAAGGTCAACAGTCTGCATCGACGCGCTCCGTTTGTTCCAAATGAACAGATGCAACTCATTACCAATGGCCTCCAACCCACTAGCCATCGCGTGGAGGCCATCGCTTCTAGGTTGGGAGGTGAGGCCACTTTTTGCTACATGGGGCAGACACCAATCCGCCAGCAACATCAAAACACACTTGCAGGGCACTGCTACGTATAATATCTCAGGATCCAATTCACCTTGATATACCGTACACCTTATCAAAGAAAGCTGCATTGAATCCAAGCTGAAGACTTTCCCAACTCAGTTTATCCTGGAAGTTCTTTTTCCGCCAGGCCGCGCTGGACTCGAGGGGCGTGGGCTTCGCCTACAATTCTCGCTTAGGCTGCACGTGAAGAACTGGACGAGGGAGTTTGATTCAGAATGGGAAGATGTTGGGAAGATCACAGATCAACAAATGGTTTTATTCAACTTGGATGTGGTGCGTTGAGACCATTGACAGCACCAGCTGGCGTAAGGATTGACATGGAACTACACAAGTTCGGCTCACGGGAAAGGGAGAAGCTATGGCGATGTTCCACGTGGTGCATGGAACCACGTAGTAGCGATGCCCTTTGCTCCTAGTAGTATGGCCTTTCGCAGCGAACCGTCGGAGGCTATCTGGGCTCGGATCCTGCTCTCCTTGGAACTTGCATGATTGCCAGCGGGGGAGCTCTGTTCGACTGGGGCCGACTTGTGAGAGGAAACGGCCAACTCCCGATAGTAGTAACTAAGTGCATCTCTACTAGTAACAAGTGCCTTACTAGTAGTAACAAGAAGCTAGTAGAAACAATAAGCTGCTAGGAATAAGTGCATCGCTACGAACGTAACAAGGGCATGACTACTAGGAGCGTTCGGACGCGAACCGATCGGGGCGCTCACCTGGCCTCGCTACGGACGTAACAGAGGACAGAACTGCGTGCGGCGTGAGGCATGGCGATCCGCATTCCCTTGCTGAGTCAGAAGCAGGAGTTGGGAACTCTGAGACGTGGAGAAAGTAGAAACACTGTTCGCTACTAGGAACAAGTGCATCGCTTCTAGTAACAAGTGCCTTACTAGTAGTAACAAGAAGCTATTAAAAACAATAAGCTACTAGGAACACTGAGACTCTGAGAGTTGGGAACTCTGAGACGTGGAGAAAGGTGGCCTCCAGCTAAAGAGAGGCGCATGGAGCTTCCGAGGTGTTTTCGACGAGTTACGCATGGTGTTGATGGCCGCACTTGAGATCTTCGCCTTGTGCAAAGTCATGTGCCTAGGTTCCGCACCTTGTGCCAGCAGCTGAAGCTTCAGGTTGGGGTGAGAGCGTGAGAGCGGGAGGAGGCTGAGAGGCTGAGGTTGATGTTTTGAAGATGAGGAGTGAGCTTCAGAAGCAGCTTCTAGCACTTCGGCACCAAACCAGAGAGATTTCAGATCACACTGTATATAGTGAGGGTTTCGATGGTGTGGTCAGGTGGATGCAGCATCCAGATACCACACGGCAGCATCCACACGTGCTGTTCCACATACTCGACGTTCATCCAGGGGTCGAACGCAAAACGGACCATGCCGCGAGTTGAGGCGCAGCTCTGCCCCTGCTCCGACCTGGGCGTTCCAGGTGTGTGGGAGGTGTGGACCTCTGCGCAGTCAGGTTCTACCCTTGATCAAGCACAACGTTCGATCACCACATTTGTTGAGCACCCTCTATTAGTTGATAGCTTCTTGAATGAAGATGAAAGAAAGGAAGCAGAGACAGGTCCATCTAAAAGTTGAAAGAAGAACAAAAAGCAAGGAAACGGTTATTGCATGGTAGGTTGCTATTAGGTGGGAGGCCGTTGCTATCCGGTGGGGAGGGTCAAAAGAAACAGAAAGGACGCCGAACCACGATGTCACGTCAGGTGCAGAACTCCGTCCGCTTGGGCTCCAGCGAGGTGGAGCAGGCACGGCGCACCGCATCGGAGATCCCTTCTGGTGCCTTCCTTATTACTGGTAGTAACAAGTGCCGCGCTAGTAGTAACAAGTGCCTTACTAGTAGTAACAAGAAGCTATTAGA